GCTTTGGAGGAATCGCCGAAACGAGAGAGAAAACGGTTAAATTAAAACTTCTTTCACTTAAAAGATTTATCAATGGAGGACTTTAAAATTTTGTAAGAAAATTAAATACAAATATTTTAAGATTCAGTTTTGTTATAATATTTTCACAAATTTTAAAATAATTTCACAATTTCTAAAATACAATTTTAGGTATTAACAACTCTTTATATTTATGATGAAATAAACTCAAATAATAATAAATTTAAAGTAATTATCATTATAGCCTTCGTTTAAAGCAAGTTTGATAAATATCTAACAATAGATTGTATCTATTAATTTCTAAATTATTTTGCGTTTTATTTTTTGTTTTTCAACCGGATGTTCCTTAAATAAATCCCTAATATATTGCACACAGTTTTCAAATAATGTAAACTAATTATATATTTTGAATTCAAAACAAATTATGCAGCAATAATATATCCCTTTTAAAAATGTATCTCAAATTTTTATTTTTAGTCCAAAAATCAAATTAATTATGATTAAACAATAAAAAGAAGAATATGCAAAATTTAGCTAAGGAAAGAAACATTAATAAATTTGTTAAAATATATTTGTAACTTTAGCAGCATATATATTAATCTACAAAACTCACAGTATGTATATGGTATTTAAAAATACGCAAATAAGAATTTGGAACATGATTTTAATGGAATGAAATGAGAATAAGAATTACGAGACGGAATGAGAGGGGAACATAAATTAAAAATCAAACTAAATACCCAATTGGTATGAGTTCAGGTTATGAGCACTATATAAAATAAATTTGTTTACATACATAACCCTGTATGTACGTTTTCAGTTACACATATTTCTATTTATGCCGGATACTGGACTGTCATATTTTTATTTCACGTATATAAGACGGGTTATGGGACCAAAAATTTATGACATATATAGGACGGGATATGTTTTCCGTTCTAAAATAGTTACGCCTAGCTAATATACATGAAATAACCAAACTCAAACCGAATCTATATCCTATTTAACACATGTAATCAAACTATTAGAAATGTTTTGATTAGTTTAGAAAATAAAAAAGTAACATCATTTAACTTTTGCAACTAAATTATATCTTAGTTTTATCTTAAATATAATTTCGCACGTACGTGTAGGTCCGGATCTTAAAATATAACTATGCACTAACGCAACTGAATTTCGTTTATTACTCTAATTTTATATTATTTGTACTATTATAAAGTTCACTAACACAACAAAATATTTTATATTTTTAAAATCTATATAACAATTTCTATAAAAATATCTCTACACGTACGTGTGAATCCAAATCTAATACACTAAAATATATATCATAAAAACAACGAAATAATTTATATTGAATTAAAATTTGTTAGAACTTTTTAAAAAATATGAAACCCCGCACGTACGTACGGGTCATGATCTAGTGCTTATTTAAATGTAAAACATTTTGTATTTGTTTAGGTGGATAACCTAGCAAAAGATAAAACTCTTTTAAGAAGAAAGATGAAGACGAAAATGTACATAAGGATTTAAGTTTCATAAATCAAATTGTCAAATAGCTGGATCTATTTTACTGCCACTAAACTAAACATACAAATTGATTCTTATTATCCTTTGACAAAAGAAAAAGATTCTTATTATCAAGAAATATCCAAATGGTAAAACAAGATATAAATCGTTCTAATCCTACCAAAAAGATATCAATCGTTCTAATGTGATTTGGGCATGCCATGAGAGCCTTCTCAAATATGAAAAACTAAAACGCACTATTATGATTTCCTTGCATTTTATGTTTAAGACACACAAGGAAAAAGAATTTTGTGAAATCTTCAAACATTATAAAACCCTAGAATTTCGAATTGGTAAAGTGAAGTCTCTCTCTCTCTTAGAGACTTCCTCTTCGTTAATTCTTTTCCAACATGAAACGTTACGTTTTACGTAAACACCCACAAATAGTAAATTTGAGATTGCGTCTTCGATTTCTTTTGCAAAACGCTATGATTCACCATTCTTCGAAACCAGATACTAGAATCACCGTTCCACGGTCGAGAGTTGTAATACTAGTCAACATGTGACATCCACTCAACAATGTCGATGGATATCACGCCGCTGGAGCTCGAGATAGGTGCACCTCCCAGCATGGAAAGCTCTCCCAAAGTAGCTTCACTTCTTCCATCCGAGCCCAGGGCGAAGCATATATCTATTGTTATTAGTTGATATTTAAGTTAATAATAACCAAAATCAGTTTAGTAAAAATGAATAAAATTGAAGTAGTAAAACAACTAAATTAATGACAATAAATATCTATTTAAGTTAATGTCATAAATTTCAACATATAATTTATATATTTGTTATTTCTTTGTTATTTTGACTATATTATTATGTTTTGCTTATATATATATATTATATAAATATTTAAGGTATAATTTTTTGTTTAAATGGCCTAGAGAAGATTTTTTCCTCACCTAAAATAAAACTAAATCTAGTTTTCTTAATAGAAATCTATATGTAGTATTTGACGTGCTCACTTTTAAAAAAAAAATATAAATGTAGTTCAAAATTTTCTTTTATTTTCTGTTCTAGTAAGTAATTCATATTCTCATTTTTAATATATTACATTAGTATTTAAAAGTATAATTTTTTGTTTAAAAGGCCTAGAGAAGATTTTTTCCTCACCTAAAATAAAACTAAATCTAGTTTTCTTAATATAAATTTATATGTAGTATTTAAAGTGCTCACTTTTAAAAAAAAAGATGGGGCTTTTGCAAAAATGCCACTTTTCAAAAATACCCCTTTTTAAAAACCTTATAAAAAATGCTCTTAAAAATATAAGATTTTCCCAAATATGTATGTAATATTATTAAAACATACACAAACTACATTTTCTATGTATCTAAAATCTTATAAATACTTTATAAATACCTTATAAATGTATTTTAAATACCTTTAAAAACCTTTAACATATCTTGTAAAACCTTTGAAAAACCTTTAAAATCCTTTAAAATAACTTGTAAAACTTATAAAAACACCTTATAAAATCTTATAAATACTTGGATCGAGTCTTCAAGTAGTAGTTATAATCCATAAGTACCTTATAAACCTAATAAAACTTTATAAAAATTTCAGATTTAAAAAGGGGCATTTTTGAAAATGGACATCTAAAAGGGGCATTTTTGAAAAGGGGGACACACCAAAAAAGATATTTTTAACAATTTCCCAAAAAAGATATATGTAGTTGGACTTTTTAATTTATTTTCTGTTCTGTTAAGTAATTTTTATTCTCATTTTTTTTAGAATCTATAGTATATTGTGGAAATTAAATAGTTTTTGTATTTATCTTGATTTATGATCTTTTACATAAATATATGTAGAAACAATTTCGAAAAAAACAGGAAAGAAGAAAACAAAATCAGTATTTGAGAAGCTATTAGAGATTTGTATTCATTTTTTTAGGAAAACACAAAACAAACATGGAAAGGAAATTAATGTTGAATGAAAAAATAAATATGAATGGGGTCAAAGACATAAAATTATGGCATGACATGGAGGTCAATTTGGAAATTTCGTACCAAAATATATAATTATAATTAGGTGAATTACCCAAAATTTAAAATTTAATTATATTTAATTTTATATAATCCAATTACCCATAATTTGAATTATAAACCCGGATTAAGTATGGGAAAAATGTCGTTTTATCTCCCAACTTTCAAAAAAGGGACATGGAAATAGACGTTGACTAACGTTTGAGACATGGAAATTCGTTGACCAGGCCAAAATAGACATATCGTTATCAGTCGTTAACGGAACCTCTAACGCCCGTTATCACCCGTAACGACTCTGTTAATCAACTTTCAAATTGTGGCCATTTTAAACATCAACTTCATATGTGGTCATTCAAAACATGAACTAATCGTTGACTAACATTTGAAACATTAGAATTCGTTGACCAAACCAAAATAGCCATGTCGTCATCATTCGTTAACAGAACCTATAACATCCGTTATCACCCGTTAACGACTCTGTTAGTATGTCCAAAACGACGTCGTTTTGAAAATAATCGAGAGAAAATCAGGACAAATTTTTTGTTTAAAGCATAATCCAAGGACATGGTTTGATATAGAGACAATCGTAGAGCCAGTAATTGGAAGCAAACATCGTTTATATATTTGTTTTAAATCTAAAAAGGAATCATGGAAGCAAACTTGTAGACCCATCATAGGACTAACTAAATGTAGCTTTTCTGAAATGGAGATAGAGATAATATGATTATTCATCTTGTTGAGCTGTTGTAGAAATAGATTTGGGGATTTGGTGTTTTCATTTGGGAAAAAAAATTTTGGACATACTAACAGAGTCGTTAACGGGTGATAACGGATGTTATAGGTTCTGTTAATGAATGATGACGACATGTCTATTTTGGCCTGGTCAACGAATTCTAATGTTTCAAATGTTAGTCAACGATTAGTTCATGTTTTGAATGGCCACATATGAAGTTGATGTTTAAAATGACCACATTTTGAAAGTTGATTAACAGAGTCGTTACGGGTGATAACGGGCGTTAGAGGTTCCGTTAACGACTGATAACGGCATGTCTATTTTGGCCTGGTCAATGAATTTCTATGTCTCAAACGTTAGTCAACGTTTATTTCATGTTTTAAATAGCCACATATGAAGTTAACGTATTGATTGACCACTTTTTGAAAGTTGGGAAATAAAATGACATTTTTCCCGATTAAGTATTGTTGTGCAAGTTTTTTTTGGTCTTGAGTCCACGTACTAGTTTTAGTTGTTGTGCAAGGTTTCTTTTCTTTTCAAAACCATATGTAGATGAGGTGAACCAGGAGCGTGAGTGCTAATGCTGGTGGCTTCTGCATTCACTTATCTCATCCCTAAATTCTCCATCTCTTCTTCTTTGTGATTCACTTCAAATTAATTACTTAACCAGTAGTAAGCCAACCTAAGTCGATGCAAGATCGAGCCGACATAAACCGGATTAAACATTTAAACAGCCGGTATTTAATAACTGAACAAAATTCCGGCTCATAAAAGGATGAAACAAGGGCTTGGAGAACTGAGCCTGTTTAACTTATTCTGTTAATTAAAAAAAAAAAAGCTACAACCTAAAGCCGTATCCACATCCATGTGTAGGAGATTAGTGATTTTGCTGGTCATGATGAAGCATGGCGATGCAGAACATACTTGACCACTTCGTAGAAGGAAACCACTATCCCTACAGACGGTCCTGCACGCGCCACTCGTGGACCCATTCCCATGAACAGGCCTCTCATCCCTCCATCCCTGTGTGCAAGTATTTCTTGTTATGTCTTAGTTTCAATACAAACACAGAGCTTTTAACAAACGAAAAATGGAATCTTTCAAATATGCATATACATACCTCCAAACCTCTATTAGTGTCTGTCGTGTCGTCATTATCAATGCCCTACCAGGGTCCTTCTGAATTAATGAAGGGAGAAACATTGAGTATGGTGTCACAAGTAAACAGACAAGTTTCTGGAGGAAAGCAAACAAACCTCTATCTGTCTTCTTGTTCTTGCAACGTCAAGAGGACAAGTAGAAGCAGCAGCGATACTTCCAGCTATAAAACCAGCAGAAAAGGTTGCACCGAAAACACCAAGAAGATTTGTGTCATTGCCCGCAACTCCAAGAAGCCTCTTTTTTATCTGTATCAAAGGGGATGGTCAAAGCAATTCACTTAATTTACGTTAATGTATTTGGCATAAACTGCCTTAAAAAACTCTCCGCATTGTAAAACGCCTAAAACATGTCAAAGATCTTACTGGCTCGAGGGTCGACCAGCAGATTGCTGAAAATGGAACATCACGGGCAAGCTGTGCACCCAAACCTCTCCAGAGAACACGATAGTTGTGCACTGTCACAGGAAAGATGTATATCAAAGACTAAACAAAAACAAATCCCTGCCTCTTTGTGTCATTGTCCACATGCATGCATCTTGGGTTGTGATTGCTAATTAAGTGCTATGCATAAGAGAGGGTAAACTCTACTTGATTATACATGCGTTGGAGATTATGACTTCAGATATCAAATTATCATCATTTCTGTGGCTTGAGAAGAAGGAAAAAGAAACTTACAACTACTTTCAAGGTTATTTGCTGTCCTGACTTCAGAGAATACACCAACTAGAGTTTTAAAAACTCCCGGAGGCTTCACACCAGCTTTTGCTTCTTTGAATGCCTACTTAGAAAAAACAGTAAATAGAATATGAATAGCGAGTCACAGAAAGAGTACTACAAAAAAAGAAAGATCTCACTGAAAAAAGCATAACACACATCTAGAGTTACAAGAATACACACACACAGAAGAAGTACAAGCCAATACCTGCATACGCGTTCTTGCAAGATCAATAGGATAGCACACTGTACAAGCTAAGGACCGCGCTAAGGACCCTGCCACAGTAGGCACACAAAATGTCATAGCAGGAGCTTTCTCCCGAGATAATTCTTCCAATCGGTTGCGAAACATATCATAGAATGGGAGATATATCCCAACCTGTGCAAAACTTGAGAGTTTACTAATCCATAGACTATCCAAGCAAACGAATCCCGCAAATGTAAACAAAAGAGCATACCATGGGCACAGCTAGGGCAAGACCAGCATTAGTCCCTCTCCACAGGCGTGCTAGACCCTCCTGCATCAGTTCTTGCGTTAGGATATAGAAAAATAGGAAGTTTCTAGCTAAAAAGCATGCCACATACACACAAAAGAAACAGCTAATTATCATCTTCTTAACACTGTGAGACTATCAACAAGATGAAAAGACAAGCTCACCTGTCGTATGATCTTGGTGAAGACATCAAAAGTTCCTTTGTACTGGAAACAATCCGGTGGGCAAATAGAAACAGTACCTTGAACACCAGCGCGTGAACATGAAGGAGAACATCTCAAGTCTGCAAACATCTGAACCCAAAATGCATTGATTACATAACTGAGCAGTGAAAATGTAGAAAGTATTCACCTTTAAAACAACACTCGTACGAAACAAAAATTTCAGAGACATACCATGTTTGGTCCAAAAAATGCCATGCGTCCAATGGAGTTACTGAGTGGGTGAGAGTAAGACATTCCGGCGGCTTGAGCTTGCAATCGAGTCTGATAAACAAAATCACAGTATAAACATTAAATCCCTCGCAGGTAAAAACATAGTTTTTCGGCGAATTAATTAACACAAGAATAGAAATCTCCTACCTTGACAACGTCTAGAGGATTTAAAGTAACAGCGGACAAAACCGCAGCTCCGGCGGCAGAGAAAACTCTTTCCGTGAACCCTATATTGTTTTCCGACAAACCCTTCTCCAACTGAGGCCGAGAAGCTATACCAAATCCGCTCACATCTCTTATTCCACCATTAGTCGAATCAATGATCGAAAAATCACGGCTTTCTATTGCCGCCGGAGACGACGACGACGACATTTCCGAAGCAATCCAACTATTCTCCGCGCGCTCTGCTTCAACCATTTAACTTTTTTTTTACCCGAATTCTTGGTAAAACAGATATTTTGATTCAATCAAAGGCTTGAATCGAATCTATGGTTTCTCAATAGGAAATTTTCTGATTTCCAGGGATTTAGAAAAAAAAGGTTTAATTTTTTTCCAGATTCCTTGGAGAAGAGGGAAAAAACAAGAGAGAGGAGGGGAAGGGAAGAATAGGGCAAACCAGAGCCACAGAGGAACACTGGAGACTTGAGTGGGTAACCACACAGCAGAAACTAACCCTAAAAGCTTTGACGCGGCGTTTTGGAATGTTCTACAAGGCCTAATCTTAACCGAACAAACCGAGACGTCGACTTCGGTTTGGTTAAACCCCAATCGTGTATTTAACCAATAATTATAGCCACGCTTTCATATCGAAACGAGCCAAAAAAAACAGAGACGGTCTAATTTTCGTGGACAAAAAACTAAACACAACACACGGTCTTAACGAATGCCATTGAATAAGAAATTTCGATTAAGTAAGGGGCTCCACAACATATGCTCTTTTTTTCTTTTTAAGTTGGTGGTGAAGAGGGCTAAAGAGTGGCGATCCACGTGTCAAAGTGTCCACAAAGTACGTCTCGGTTTGTTCGGTTTGGTTAAACCAGTTGAATATTCAACCCATGGATAGCACGTTGTGAAGCGGAATTAGGTAAAGACGGAGCCGGTCCTTTTTGCTTGGTCAGCAAGTACGGTCTTCACGAAGGCCATTGAATTAGAATTTTCGATCTTTTGGGGCTCCACAATAATATAATTCTTTTGTTATGGAAGTAATTTGGTGGTGAAGAGGCCTTACGAGTGTCAAGACACGTGTCTATGATTCCACCTTGTACACCTCGTTACTAGTTTGTGTACTGACTCAAATCCTGTGTTTTTCTTTCAATAAGTCGGTCATTCGATTTTCATTGATTTGAAAATATTTAAAGTTTATGTGGTGTTGTTTTAATTTAAAGTTTATGTTTAATAATTTTGGTGGTTAAATTATAAAGGGATTTAGTTTCACATTGGATAACAACACAAAATATGGACATAAATATATAATTTGTTGATTAGTAGTGCATACAATTTATTTTATTTTCTCATATGAAATTCAATATTAAATGTCTTTTGAACCTAATTATGTTAAATAAAAAGACCAATATCAAATATCAAAATAATGCGATTAAAATAGAGAAATTGTTAAAAATGCCCCTTTTTCAATACCTTTTTCAAAAATGTCCCCTTTGAGAGTCCATTTTTAAGTTTGCCTTCTTTTAATTTTTAATGACCATTTTACCCTTATTTGAAACAAAATTAGGTCCACAAAATACAAAATATTTTTTGGCAGGAAAAGTGATCCCGTAATTTTCCCGCCAAAACACTTGTAAAAACTTTTAACATACCTTGTAAAATTTTCCCGCCAAAATTTTTTTTTTGCGGGAAAAGTGATTCCGCAGTTTTTTTGGCGGAAAAAATTTACAAGGTATTTTAAAGGTTTTACAGAGTATTTACAAGTGTTTTGTAAGGTTTTACAATGTATTTTAAAAGGTTTTACAAGGTACTTATAAGGTTTTATAAGGTATTTATAACTTGTAAAACCATATAAAAAACTTGTAAAACCTTATAACTTGTAAAACTTTATAAAATAGCTTGTAAAATCTTATAATATCTTATAATTACCTTATAAATACGTTGTAAAACCTTTTAAAATATATTGTAAAACCTTATAAATACCCTGTAAAAAACCTTTAAAATACCTTGTAAATTTTTCCCGCCAAAAATTTAACGCCAAAAAAATTGCGGAATCACTTATCCCGCAAAAACAAATTTTTGGCGGGAAAAAATATTACGGGAAAATTTTACAAGGTATTTTAAAGGTTTTACAAGTTTTTACAAGTGTTTTGGCGGGAAAAATTGCGGGATCACTTTTCCCACCAAAAAATATTTTGTATTTTGTGGACCTAATTTTGTTATATTTTCTTATATATTTGTGATATATTTTATTAAAAGAAGGGTAATTTAGTTATTTTGTACATAAAAACGAGTATATTTTTAAAAATAGACAGCCAAAAAAGACATTTTTGAAAAGGGGTATTAAAAAAAGGGCATTTTTGTGAGTCTCCCATTAAAATATACAGGATAAAAAAATTAATGTTGAAAACGTATTTAATCCAAATCATGTTAGAACGATTTATATCTTGTTTTACCGTTCATATACTTTTTCATAATAAGAATCAATTTTGTTGGTTTGTTTAGTAGCATCAAGATAGATCCAGCTATTTGATTGACAACTTGAGTTATGAAACTTAATACATACCTTTATTTACATCTTCTTCTTCTTCATCTTCCCTCTTAAAAGTGTTTTATTTTTTGCTAGGTTATCCACTTAAACAAATATAATAAAGTTTTACATTTAAATATGCATTAGATAAGCATTTTGGTTAACTGTTTTTTTTTTTTTGTATTTGTTTAGGTAGGTACTCTACCAAGAGATAAATCTAATGAAAATGTTTATTTAATTTATATCTAGTGTTATTAGTAGAAATTTAAGTAATTAATAACCAAAATCAGTTTAGTAAAATGAATAAAATTAAAGTAGTAAAACAACTGAATTAATGAAAGTAAATATCTATTTAAGTTAATGTCTTAAATTTCAAAATATAATTTATATATTTGTCATTTCTTTGTTATTTTGACTATATTATTATGTTTGCTTATATTTTGTTTATTTTTTGCTCATTTTGTCAATATTTTTATAAACCATCATTAATTACTCTATTGCCATTTTCTGTATAAATTTTACATTTGTAATAATCTAGTAAATTAGGATTGTAGAAGTAATTTGCAAGAGAAAAATAAAAGATGTTGTTTAACTAGAGATTTTTTTTATATATTTTTCATTTCTTTTATTTTTGTAATTTAACACCTTCTCTTAGATTTTATTGATTCTACCGGAGCCAACTACGAAACCCTGGGTTTGGTTTGTAGCGAGGCTTGTTTTAGCGCCGTCATTCTTCTCATCTTCACGATGGTTGTAATCCTGGTGATCAGACCCAAATTCCCGGACTTCAGCATCCAGAATGCAGAGATTCAGCAACAATTTTAGAACAACAAGATTGATCTGCAGATCGTAGCCACATTCAAACTCAAGGCTATTTGGGCTTCACTGCATTACACGTTCAGTTTGCTTGGGAGATGCCATCTTCAGATGACTTCTTCATCAAATGGATCTCCAATTACGAAACACTGCACCACAAAGATAGAGATTTGAAGGTAATGTATCTTGTGTATTAGTTTTTCTTCTAGGTTGTTTATGTTTTGTAAGCTTTGTGCCCAAATCTAATTAACAAACTATCCTAACCACTCTTTTATCTTTCTTTTGTAGATTTGTAATGTACAAGAGAAGATTGTATAAATCGATGAGCCTTATTATAAAGCCCATTTTCTCCACTAGTTTAAGTATCAAAACTAACGAAAAATATACAGGATTGTTTAATTTAATTGTCATGATATATTATTTATATTCTTATGTGAAAATAATTAAAAATAGAAAAAGCATTTTATATAAACACTTACAAATTCGAATCATTTTTTTTTCGTCTGACAGCTATTCGAAATCATGTAGTTCCAACTTCCAATAATATACAAAAATTCACAAAATGGAAATAAAAGAAGAGAAAACATAGACATTGCTATGAAAGGGAAGAGTTATTTATCTTCTTTGGTATTCTTCCTCCATTTCCAATTAAAAAGATTCTTAAGTCATCAACTCATACCCTCTCCATAGATTCTGCTTCTAGACGCTCGGAAACATCTGCTAAAGAATTCAGATTGCATTGAATCAAAGCCTCCACGAAGAAGCATGTCTCTTCCTTTGTGTTACCTTCCGGCACATCCACCACGAACGATTCTATGACCAATGTCCCTATTCTCCCGCGTATCGTCTCCGAATGCAACGAAATGGTTGAAGAATAATTCTGATTGGATAAAGAACATATTAAATTTTGTTTTTTTAAAAACAATAATCTTGTCGGAAAAACAGTAAAAGGAATCTCCAATTTACCTTGAGTCTATGATCACCACCAACGATCCTAATGCCGAGAATATGTTCATTGTCGTCAAGAAACTCCAATATCTCAGTGCTTTTGGTAGCTGGTAATCCAGATTTAAGATCCACTTCTCGTATAGTGCCAATTTCCAGCTTCTTCCCTTCTACAACACATCTACTGATAAATGGTTTGTATTTTTGTGGTTCATCGAATCTCCTCACAAGTGACCACACCTTTTACACAAAAAAAAAAAAACAAAATCATTAACATCTCAAAAATCGTATCTTTTAACGGTATAACATTTGAAAAACAGAGCAAAGCTTACGAGATGCAGAGGAGCTTTGATGTGCTTAACGAGTGTAGAGCTACATTGATTCTCTACAAGCTCGTGTCTATGGTGCCTCTTGATGTTCTCGCTCTCCACCTTCTTTGTCTCTTCACCGTTCATCGTTCTCTTAAGTAGCAGCAATTTAAATAAGCTGACTGGACAAAAAAAATACTTAAATATTTTGTGCCTTTGCTTTTTTTCACTCAATAGTACAGTACCAGTGCTGCTATTTAAAGGATGCTCTTTTATATTGACCAATATACATACTCTTCCAAGATTCTATGAGTGAATTTATTTTTAACTTATCTGTATTCCCATTTTCTTGGATTATGATCCGACATGTCAAATACAGATCGACGGATTGTTGACATTATTGTAGAGGATTGTAACATTATACTATTTCATGAAAAATATCTCTAACAAAATGCTATAAGTTTAACACATAAGCACAAATTTCTTGCTTGTCAATGACTCAGAATCAGAATATCTTTAGAATGTTTTTAGAATTGCTCATATATAGTTTGACACCTAAACATATTTTCTTATGGAATTGTTATCATTTTTGACACCTAAACATTTTTCGTAGTTAGATGTTATCCTTTATGCAGTTTACCTTGTGTGGCTTTCAAAATATCTGAAATGGATAAGAGGCAATTCATATTCGCGTTAATTGGGCCGTAAAAAAAACTCTTTAAAGCCCATTACGAGATATTTTAGGCAAACTACCCCCATTCGTTTGACATGGCACTTGACGACGAAAGCACGATTCATAAACGGATAAACCGGCGCGAAAGAAAAATGAATGAAATTGAATTTTTGAAGGATAATGGTGAAACAAATGAGTTTGTCTATACAGAGAGGCAGAAGATATCGGACTTGGATCACTTAGCTTTCTCTCTACCTATAAATCTATTGTTTATGGAGCAAAAAGAGACAATCTTGCTTTGTCCTTCTTTTCTTCTAGATGTTGTAGCGTGTGAAGTAAACTTCAAGACCCTACAATAAGGTTTTCTATTCTAATTCATGAATTTCCTGCAGTTGGGGGCTTTACATAGGCATGGCACCTTGAGTTCCTCTGCCTCATCTGGATCAAATAAGTAATCATACCTGCCAAAACAACACACAACATTTCTTAAACTATGACAGTCGATCAGCTTTAGATTGAAGAATGGTATATAGAAATGTGTTGTGTACGTTAACTCCTCTCCCACAGCTACATTGGCCTTGGCTATCAGGACAATCCTGCTTTCCTCATCTCCCACACTCATAATCCTCGCATAGCAATTTGGCGTACACTGCACACCATGTATTTTTATTTAGGCTTCACAATCTTTATATTTATTATAAGTAAAAAGTCCAAGCAGCTTACCGAATGGTTGATGAGTCGAGCTATATTCCCTTTATCTGTAGCATCAACCACTACTTCTTCACTGATCTTGAAAAGCTGCAACACAAATCCTTCTTTTGGTTAAGAGAGATAGAGAGAGAAGAGACAATTTGTGAAGATAAAAGGGAAACTATTTCAACTCACATAGCAATCCTTCCCTACTCTGCGATACCGTGCTTCTCTCAAGTCTGCAATGCTACCTCTCACCTGTTCCCCTCTATATTCAAGAACCTGAAATACAATAGCATCTCTCAACAGTCAACACTCCTCTCAACCCAAATAGACCAAACACAATATCACAAATGGGTCTGCTGACATACCATTTCTCCTTCTTGGATATTTCTTCTTGCAAAAAGACCCCATCCATGTATTCCAGATCGCCCAAAGCAGACCCGATCCATTTCTGTCCTCTGTCACATGAAACAAAAACATGTTACATTTGATAATATACAAAAAGAAAACCTGAACATTGCAACCTCGTCAAACATCTGAGAATGCTTGCCTGCAAGTGGTGAAGTCGTTCCCTGAAAGAAGAAAACGATTTTGGTTCTTCCGGCACATGCTACAGGAGATACAACCCAAAAATGTCAGATCCAAAATAATAGATAGAAACGGAGTAGAAGCACTGCATGGAGACTTTCTTACTCTGAATGTGTTTAGAGTTTGGATTGCTGCTGATGGATGATGGCGTGGTCCCCTTGTGTGGTGAGGAATGGCTTCTTCTTCAATCCTCTACAAAACAAAGATCAGCCTACTAGACAAAGGAGATTTGCAATGAAACATACAGAATTTTTGTGGATAAGACCCAATATTACCTTCTTGCTATTGATCTTTCTTTTAAATACTCGACAACGAGCAGCAGAAAATGGATCACGTGTAATGGTATCCTCTGCAGGTGACTCTTCATTGTCTTCTCTGATTGATGAAATAAGTCTGGAACCACCTTTCTTTTTGTTTTGGACAAGACTCTTTGCAGAGAATGCCCCTGAAGGAGTTTGTATAATTAACACGTTATCTGGGTTTGGAGCCCTACACACCAGTAACAATAGAGAAAATTTGTATATCATAACCCGACACCTTAATACCAAAACTTCTTTAAGCAGTTTTCTGAGAAATTTCACCTGTGATAAGCACAATAGGACACCATCTTTGTAATCTGCTGACCATTTTTCTCCAAGCAGTGCAACTACATACAAAATGCATGGAAATATGCCTATTTAAAAGGAGTAAGATAATAAATTGCTAAGGAAAAAAGAACACTTAAGTTCCTATAAAGTTAAAGATTCAAAACACATTATCTATCGGATACCAGTTTCACCTCAAACGACTATATAAAAAAGATTGTTCCAGTTAGTTCAAAAGCATGTATAGAGAAAGTCAATTTTGTCTGATCTAATGAGGAAAGATCAGAAACAGTCAAGCAGTAAGCATACCTCCATTCTATAACCAGCTCGGGAGGCACACATGGCATGATAGTATGTAGAACACTTGCAACACTGAGTACACGAGCCATGTATTTGTTTGCATATTACACATATCTGAAATCCATCAAAACGAATAAGATTTATTGCAATTTAGCTTTGCTCGCAGACAGTTGTGAAAAGAGTACTCTAGTGCATCCAAAATTAAACACAATAAGTTAAAATTAAATTTACCTTCACAAAATTAGTTGATGGAATACTCAAAATCCCAACTGCAGGTTCCATTTTTTCCTCACTTGCAAAACATACTTCAGGCTGAAACCAAGCACATGTCACATGAACCCACAACGTTTCCACATCAGTTGGCTTCAATGCACCTCCTATCATCAGTGACAACATAGCCGAGCCAATGAATTTAGTTAATAGGCAGTGGTGCCATATGTTTATGTGAAAAAGCTGAATATGCTTTATAAAGCCACCTTTTACAGGGCAGAGGCAACACTCCCGCTTAATATCTGGTCTCTCACATGCTTTACAGACCCATGAGGTGAAATCACGCACATGTCTAGCGCCATAGCATTCCTGATGCACTGCTATTTGGCATCTGACAAGAAAATGAAAGAAACAAATATCTTAAGTTGCTTATGAAACAATGATAATGGATGATACTTACACAGCCAAAGATTGGGCGCAAAAATATGTCTAACGGCAGGTCCTTTTATTCAGGTAGATGAAATCATGGTTTTTAAACAAAACTAGAGCAAAAAAAGATTAAAAAGCACCTGTTGCAGATAATAATCTTGTTGTAGTCCCAATCTTCAACCCATCTGCAAACTGCACATCGTTCTGTTGTCCACTTCGCATTAACCGGCTCATATGTCTCTGCCAACAACGAAAGGAAAAGCCAACAATAGCATCACAAAAGCACTCGAAACTTTGCAACATGTTACAGGATTCCCTTTCCTTTTATACCTGATAGAAAAGCAAGCAATCTCTGCTTTCTCTGCTTTATGGAAGGTCGTTTAGGCACTTTAGCTGCAGTAGCATTTGCATGTAACTCTGCTAATTTCATCATCTGCAGAGTAAGTGAATGGTATGGTAGAAATATATGTCAGTTTACTTTTATGTAAGTCAGAACAAAATCAAAGAAAGACGCCAATATCTCTGAAAGAAACCAGAAGAGTAATTGTACAAACCCAATCTTCTAGTGCCAGCATCGAGCTTTTGACTTTCACACTGGTCTTCCAATTTTTTGACTTTGATCCGGTATGTCTTTCCCATTCGCTAAGGGCTTTCTTTTTGGGTCCACAGGAGCCACACTTACATACCACTCTGTAAATAAACAAAATGGAGTAAGAAGACTCTGGAAATTTTTCAGCAAAGAAACTTGAAAATCTAGGTGAGGTAAATCTCAATCTCTTCTTGCTTTGAATTAGTTTTAGAAGAAAACTCATCGCGAGAAGTTGGGGAAATGTAAGGAAAAGTTAAAATGGTATCTGCTTACAAATGGAGCCTCGGAAAATAAACTCCTTCTACTCCAGCGCATACAACAATAACCTTGTCAGGAAGAACCATCTGACCATCGCCTTTGCCAAGTCTGTACCAGAAAACTCCCAAATTTAGACATTTGGCAATCAAAAGGCAGTTGTTGAGAAAACAATAATAGAAGTTAAGACGAAGAGGCCTACTTTGACTTTGAGTTTTGTTTTTCTGAATCTGATAGGTCAAAGTTAAATTTAGCTCTGCAAGTAGGACAGTAGTAATCTGTTTCCCCCAAATCCTTCAGACCATAAAATGAGCTCGATCTCAACACACACAAGCAGATGATAGTAGGGTAACCTTGATGAAATCAAAAATTAACATACCTTCAAATGCTTATCTGATATTTGGTCACACTCTGCGTGTATCCAGATTTTACAACCATCACAGCGCACCTATTTTACCACACGGATATCAAAAGGTCAAAATAGAAAACAACCAAAACCTGAAGCTATACCATTATAGAACCTAATATATTTGCTTTCGTACCCAGCTTTGACTGTCCAAATGATTCCTTATCTTCTTGCATATACCACAAATGTGTTTTGATTTTGTTAACTGCAACAACAACCAAAGTAGGCTTACACGTATGCAACTGTTTCTGCATCACTTCAAACTAAACTAAGAATAATCACAGAACAAGGGATCCCACATACCCTTGAACATGGTTTACACAACAACTGATCTCCAGGAATCAGAGCTTTCATTTTTTTTGCCATCTCAGAAGAAATGACCGTTTCACATCCTGCACATGCTAGTGGATTTCTGTGTTTCTTTAACAGCCCCTGCAAAGCATAAAGTTAATTAGATACATTACCCAAATTGGAGGAGATTTACACAAAAAGATATAAGAAAAAAAGTCATATAAAAATGGACCAAGAGGCATGAAATTAAATTCTTAGCAGCCTTGTGTTGTTTTGGGAACTAGAACGTTATAATGAAAAGGAACCCCTGCACAACAAACTCACAGACAGAGACACTTGCCTGGGTTGGAGCATTGTTATTGAGATCCTGATTTGAGACCGCAGTTTCTTGAATCCATCTGTAGAAAGAATCATCAAAAGTCGGGTTGCCAGCAGCCAAGTGAATATCATGCATCAACTTCTCCGTGAATCCCTGATCTGCCAAAAATGCTTCCTCCAGTGCCATCTGAAAATTCCCAGGCTTGCAACCTTGCAGTTCAGACTGTTCCTGGAACCTGAATAAGTAGCTAATTAAACACTAATCCAAATTTAAGACCTTCTCTTTTGATAATCAAGAGACCCACCTGGCAACATAATCCACAAAAGGGAAGATCATCCCTCTCCTCACCCATGCATAGTCCTGCTTACATTAAACAACAGTCAGAAATAGAAAACTTAATAGAAGGCCAGATTCCATATTTGGAAAGTCATTTGTCTCTTCGTACCCTTTCATTCTCGTTCCCAGAGTGGCCAAAGAAGACAACACAGGCAGCATCGGGTATACAAGAACGCAAAACAAGCTCGGGTGCTTGTGTCATTGGATCGATAACAATGGCAGGCCAAAACGGCTCATTTCTCCCAGACTTTGCCCAAACCAAGTCACCTGAATAGAAGTTCTCAGGCCCAAAAGTACCTTGTTTATTTGGAAGCTTCTCATCAACACGAGCACGAGCCTCATTACGTTGCTCGTGAAACCTTGCTTCTTTACACAATGCACTATACTTACTGTTCCTATAAAGTTCCTTGCTTTTCAAATTACTAGCTTTAGGAACCCGAAAACTAACAACTTTATCATCCCTGCATTCTAGTTCTTCCTCCAAATCACAATCACTTTTGCTATCTTTCCTCCAATTATCGAGCACCGAATCATTGAATCGAGAAGGAAGCACCTGAATTCGTCCCCTAGATGTTCGAACAAGCGGTGGGCGTGAGACTTCAGCCGGAGGAGGATCCCTCACAGCGCCGGAATCGGATCTTCTCTTAGAAATCAACTCTTCAACCTCAACAGGTTTCATCGAACAGGAAACTTCATTGCACCAGGAAGCAGAGAATCCATTCCGTCCATTTCCTGGAACAATCCCGGCGGCGATTTCTCCGAGAAGATTGAGAGGATAGTAACAACCTCCCAAGTTCGACTTTCTCTTCTTTCTGGACTCATTGCCCGAGTGGTGCAAACTCGGTATCTGGGTTTTAAATTTCCGTTTGATTATCATTCTCTTTCTTATAAAAATTCAGAAAGCAATCAGAGCATCACTGTTCCAAACAAGAATCAGCAACTAAACCTCTCAAAAAAATCTCGAATTTCTCACAAACCCTAATCTAGACCTCAATTTCCGATGCTCTAAGAAACTCGAGAGAAGAAGTCCTCCGTTTTCCTCTGACCCAGAACTGAAAATCGCGTACCCGTTGTATCAAACAAGGAAAGCTACAAAATTGAGGTTTTTTTTTAATGGAAGAAGAGACGTTTGGCACGAATGAGCGAAAAGAGAAAGAGAGAGAGATCTGTTCCTAACTTCTCTCGCTCTATATCTCTCTTAAAAATTCCAGAATAAATAAAAATGCGTCCTTTCTTATGATTTGGATGATAAAACCGGAAGAAATGTTGTCAAGGAATCGTTTTTAATCGAAAGATTGAAAATTTCTTTTTTTGGTAGAGAGAGAAAGGCGTGACAGAGTTGAAGAGAGAGAGAGAGAGAGAGAGAGAGAAGATGCAGCAGAAGTGGGTCGTTGGATCAGGCGTCACCTTCTGAATAGCGTGAATGTGCACATTACTATGATTATGCTAACCTGCGCCATCATCGCCCACGCTTTTTCTTCTTCTTCCTCGTTTTCTTTCTCTTCTCGGAACCAATTCAAAGATCGTGTCTTTTTTTATTTACTAGTTTCTTCTCTTCTTAATTTGATATGAAAATCAGATAAAATGTTTTTTCTAGTAAGGTTCGAAAATCTTTGGAAGCTGCAATGGAACTTACATTGTACGGCTACGACAGTGTACTTCTTACTACTTCATACCGAGTTTGATTACAACAAAATTATCAATCCATGAAACGCTCTTCTTACACTGTTACACAGGAGACATGTCGTATCTTTGTACATGTAAAATTTTAAATATTTGTTTCTCTGTTTTAGATGCACCGGTGAGTGAGGTTGATGGAAGAAGCAGCTACAAAATGGAAACAAAAAATACATATATCGAAAGAAAAGTTTCCCACCAATTTTTCACAATTCTTATAAGGGTATTTATGTAATAATACAATTTCTCTGGTGTTTTCCGGTTTAGAACTAACCGAGAAGCTCTGTGATTTTCTCAACTACAAAAAAACCAATCACGTTCGTTAGGAGGGGTTGTCTGGGTTGATTTATTTATCTAGTAAACATTAGTTCCGTTGGATTTACTTATACAAAGGTTAAAGATTTCTCAATGGAAATGGTAATTTAAGGTTTGGGCTGATTCTTGGCTTCCAAAACATACTCGCCAAGAATGAACGGTTCTTCATCGCAAAGCATTAATAAAGTTCACCAATTATTTGAGGAGGATTGCAAAACATAGAATATTGAAAAACTTCAGCTTCGTGTTGTGATATATTAGAACTTTTAATTAAATTATAAATATATCTCAACATGGTCAACAGGTTTGTTGCATCCACAACCATATCCAAATGCCATATCCAAATGGGAAAGTATGTGTGGAAGGAACTAAGACCATACTAAACCAGATTTTGGCTCAAGTTTCAATTTTCATATTTTCGAAAGGTGATCCCCATGTACATTCATCAAAAGTCAAAAGCTATTTATTATATCAACTGATACAAAACTAAGAATATAATACATACGGTCAAACCATAGAGAGGAATATCAAACAGCTTCTATATATAATAAACTTTTTAGAGATAGATAACTTCATAAGCATCATTACTTGAGTAACTACTACAACTTGTTTTTTCTTCCTAATCCTTACTTCTTATTCAGACAAACCCCCTTATATACAAAACGAGAGGTGGGTGGGATTATATTCTTAACACCGCATCAGACCTATAACTAATACTCATTTCTGCATCTCCTCTGTTTTCGCAAACCTTCCTCGGATCCTCGGTTGACTATCTGCAAGAGCCTTTCTGCAAGCATACTGTAACCATACAGATACAATCCAGAGTTCAGTTTCAAACAAAGCGGGTTTGATATATAAACCTAAACCATTTTTTTAGGTCTTTACCTTGATTTTACGCCCGAAATTTCGCCTGCTCTTCTTGTTCCTGTATCGAGAAAGCTTCTCACGGCGGTCCTCAGATGTGCAACTTATGATTATTCGATCCAGCTGAGACTGGACATGACCCGCATTTGTAGTTCCCAGTGTCTGTCATAATACAAAAGATCCTCAAGTGATGAACATACACATGATAACTTTTGCCAACATCATATCTATATATAGTCATCTAGGTCTGGGAAAGGTCTCTCTGAAATATCGATGATTCAACAAGAAAGAACACAGTCCAAAATCTTGCAAACACTTGCATATGTATATATTGAGTTCAATGATCAAATGAGTATTATTAATAATTTCAGTTCGAACCTGTATATCGCTTTCACTAAACGCTCTTCTCATGCCATAGTCCACTGGAGGGAAATCAGGGAAGCTCTGAATCACTGCATCCTCGTGCTGTACCATATCCATTGAGCTCAGGTTTCCCGAGCTCACACTCTTTGGGATTGGGACATCAGAGACGACCACACTACTACTCTTCACATCAGTGTCCATTTTTGCAACTAAAGTGATGTTCTTGATGTCTAGTACCTCGGAGAGCGGAGACTCCATGGCTGATTTGACCAGGAGGTCCTGCTCACACTCGTAGAAAGCATTGTCTATAAGCTGTTGGTCACTCTGCAACGACCCGAGATCACCTAGTTCAACAAGCTCTTGAGAGAGAGGATCAACAGCTAGCATTGGTTCTTCAATGATCGGCTCAGGGGCTTTGAATAGGTCACTCTCTTCTCCAAAATCATACTCACATGCCTCAACAAGATTGTTCTGCTTCACAAATTATAAGAAAAATGAGCAAAACATAACAAGAGAGAACCAAAACCACAAACTACAAGATCACAACTCAAAACTTGACTAAGAAACAGTGAGATTCTTTGGTTTTATACACACACACAGAGATCTCTTTAAAATGAATTCGTTCAAAAAGGGTAAGAGGAAAGGGAATTTTTCTTCTTTGTTACAGTGATAGTAGAGAATGAATGTAAGATAATGACACTATGAATCGACAAACCCCAATCAGAGCAAAAGAATAACTGAAAAAAACAAACAAAAGTCTTAAAGACACGGAATCTGGTAGTCTAAAAACACAAACGTTTGTTGTCAATCGTGTATGATACGCTATTTTAGTTCTCACTCCAGCTTGAATAAAGAGAAAATGGTCATTCCCATCATCACAAACACATAAAAATGTCTCCTTTATATTCACTGTCTCTCAAAACCAAAAATCAAGTTGAGTTTTTTTTTTGTTCTATCAAGCATCATCAATCAGTAGCAGAAGATTCCGTCTCTTCATCTGCCCAGAAAGACCCAATTTTTAAAAGCCAAAACAGATGTGAGTGAGCTCAGCAAAAAGATCGCATCAAGTTTCCAGTTACCACAAAATTTCTCAAGAAAATCACTCAAAGCACAAAACTTTGCCCTTAATATCCACTAATTAGTGTTTACCATCTCCTTCACACTCCAATTTTCTTCATTAACACAACAAGGAAGAGAAAAGTGACTTAATTTCATCAAAGATCAAGCAAAGGCAAGAAACCCAGAAGCAGATAATCAATGCAGTGACAAGAAAAAAGGAATTGAAATTGAAATCAAAAGACAAACCATTTCATCAGAGAGCTTGTAGGATTTAAAGAGGTCTTCAAATTGGTGAATCTCTGGAGAAGAACTCTGCATGAATCGGAAAGCTAAGCCAGTTTGTGCATACATTTCTGATTCTTTTGCTCTAGGATTAGAAATTTTTTATTTCCTGGAAGTAGAAAGAGGAATGAAGCAGAGAAGAGTGAACATAAAAACCCAAAAGATGAAAAAGAGAGGCCAAGTTGGGAATTTGGAGCATACCCTGAGGGGAAAGTTGTGTACTTAGGCCCCTCCTCTTGCCTATTGTGATGTTGAGAGGCTGATATTGATATTTTTTTGTGTAGAATTATTGGTGCACTGAATCCCATTTATAGATTTTACTTTCTTAATTATTTTTGCATTGAAATAAATTTTTACATGAAAACAGAAAAAATAAAAAAATGTAACCCCCACTGACACTATTTCAGTGTAGATATTTCTTATGCACAACTTTTTTTATTCTTCTTTAGTTTATTTCTTTTAAATCTCTAAGGAGTTCAAGAAATTCGAAATCGGTAACTCCTTCGATTAAACTCCAAACTAAAAATTATAGAAAAATCGGACGAGTTTTTAAGTATAAACATCGACTGCGAAACGGATACTAATTTACTTGTTTTGATCTTCTTTTCGAAGTATTTAAACAATGTTGTAAGTATAAAGAAGATTCATGAATCAGAAGAGTTATTTCATGTAACGTTCCTTTCAAGTTGTAAGTTGTTGTAACAAAGCAGTGGTTAATCAGTACATAAAAACAAAATCTGTTGGGATTAGAAGACAAACAAGTTTAATTTTTTGCAGGTTCTAATTAAACATGTAGACATGTAGTAGTAGCATTTAGCAACTCGTAGTAGGTGACTGTAGAGTGTAGACACTAGTCACTAACACATGTTTAGTGTAGGTCCTATGTTCTTGTGACTCTCTCTGACATTTTCCTTTACGTCATGCGATTGCGAGGTTATGGTGCTGTGGGATTTTTGTAAATCGCGACATAAACTTACTTCTGAGTGATATTGTTCTCTATCATGAATCCATAAATAATGGAAACAATTAAAACGTTCATAGAATACAATCTGGTTGTACTTTGTAACCAAATTCATATAATCAATCAATTCTTGGATCTGCTTTTTAGCCTTTATGGCCAGGGAGTGAGGTCCCGTGATTTCCAATTTTTTAAAGAAATTATATATGAGTTTTGAGGAAATGACAAAATTGACATGTGAAAATTTTCAGAATATGTTCCGTGCGAAAATTATAATTTATTTTTGTTGAATGCTAATCACTAGATTTAACAGTGAGAATGCTTTAGTTCCAAAGTTGTTTACTAGATTACTCTTGTCTAAATTTAACGTTCAAAACACGTTTTGTTCTAGTATTTTTCCAACTTGAATCCTTTTAGAAAATTTCCTTACTTCATCTTTGAGGGAAGCTTTTGTATTAGTGGGAACTGAAACTACAAGTGTACGTGAGAGGAAATTTGTATTTGATTACCGAGAACTTAACATAAAACCAAAAGTGAATAAATACAGATGGTCCTTGAGTACATATCAAATTATGATTCTCAAAATTTATTCATATTATCTTATGCTTTTCTTTCTTTATGTTTAACTCTTCAGTTCCATCGAATTATATATTCTTATGTTCTTGTCTCAACATTTTTGTTTTGGATTTACTCATAGTTTCTAACTTGTAACACGTACATATATAAAATAATTTGAAATAACAGAAAGGTTGGGGACCAACAATTTGTAGTGTTGTTACATGAATATGGAAATGAGAATGATATATAAATCCATGGGTGGTCCAAATTTGATGGCCATTTCTAATCTGTAAGAAATTGTTCATTTGATAAAGATGCCGAATATTTCATTTCGGTTATAGTTTATCTAAGTTTGTGTGTTTCATTTATATTTATTGGAATTGAATATATTTTGTATACGCAAGTGGACTTCTTTTTGTTTTGTTTTATTTTGTATTTGGCTTTATTTAGTCTGAGTCCCAAT